GAAGGTCTTTTAAGGATAGAAATCTTGGGGTGCCTGGGTGGCTCAGTCGGTTAAGTGTCCAATTTCGGCTGAGGTCATGATCTCAGTTTGTGAGTTCAAACCCCATGTTGGGCTCTGTGCTGACAGCTCAGAGCCTGGAACCTGCTTCAGATTCTGTGTCTCCCTCTCTCTCTGCCCCTCCCCTGCTCAAGCTCTGTCTCTCTCTGTCTCTCAATAATAAATAAACATTAAAAAAAATTTTTTTTTAAGGATAGCAGTCTCAAGCTTACTATGTTAACCCAGAGTAGAATCTATAGAAAGGATTTTTATGGATATCCACTCAAAGGGGACAGCGAAGAAAATAATAACAGTTGAAACTTGATGATTGTCACTATGTGCCAGGCATTGCTGTGCGTGCTCTATTTCACATGTATTACCTTACGTGACATTCCATCCATGCAACAATTTTATGATGGGGGTACTGTTACCATTGCTGTTGTCATCATAACTGTTATGTATGAGAAATCTGAGGCCTCAGAAAGGTTAAGTAGCTTATGCAGAAAACCAGCTATATAACTGGTAAGAAGCAGTAGAATCAGGAAATGACCGTGACAGTGTGACCCCTGAGTCTATTCTTAACCGCTCTGCTACACGCTGCTACAGTGCACTCACCGTGAGCTGGCTGCCTCATATGTCTTATTAATGCTTATAGCAGCTCTGTCTGAAAGTAGTTATTGGACTAATTTTGCATTACAAAAACCTGTGGCTCATGAGTGTTAATTAATTTATGTCACACCACCCAGCCAGAGAAGTGACAGTGTCAGAAGTGGACCTCTGCCCTCTCTCAACCCCCTTTCACCTGGGTAGAGCTTTGCCAAAGTCTTCAGTAGGGAAGATGCAGATGGTCAAGGTGGAAATGAGTCATTCTGGGAACTTAGACGGAGAAACTCTCCTCCTATTCCATTACTTGGGTACAGAGTTCATGGAAGACAGAGCTGTGTTGCAAGTAATTCAGATTTTTCTACCGTATTTGAGAGTTCTACATGCTGTCTTCAGCTCTTTTTGGTTGCCATGACAGCAGATGTGACATTTCTTTCATGAGGAGAGGGGGGGAAAAGAAGAAGAAAGGAAAGGAACCATACTTGGTCCTCAGTGATCTTAGAAAAATCTGTTCCCCAGATCTATCTAATTTTGCTTGCATAGTGGTTATGCTCTAAGGAAATTCTCAGAATGGAATCAAAGGGAAATAAGCAGAGAGGTGGCAAAATCTGCTTCTCCTGAGAAATTGTATGTGTACAGTGGTGGTTTGTGAGGGCAGGGGGATATGAGAGGAGGTAGGCAATCTAAGACTTGAGACAAACTGTCAGCTACTTAAGGCAACACCTAGCTACTAAGGTCTTGGCGATCATTTCAATTCTATTTGCAATTCCCTTGCCCCACCAATCTATACGTATAAGAGTGTTCAGCAAAGGGAACGTGTCCTTTAGTGAGGGAAACGTGGTACATAAAGCAAGAATTACAATTCAGAATGATGAATGCAGTGCTGAAGTAGGCTTAGCCTTCTGTGGAAGCAAAAAGATTTGTCTTATCCATATAATTTTGATCTATCTATATACATACACATAAACATAGGAGTAATTATATTTTTATTGTTGCATTTTGACCACTTATTCATGTTATTTTATTAACCTCTACAACCATTCAATTTGTTTTATTTTTTATTTATGCTTTTGTGGTTTTAATTTGCAGTTTATTTATTAAAAATGTTAATTCCTGTGCAATGAACATACAGGTTATATTAGTTTCAGGTTCACAATATAGGTATGGAACTGCAACGTTTCTACTTCAGTAATGGTCCAGTAGTCCAGTGGGTGGAAGGATCACAGTCACCTATGGGTGGGCACTTAAGTTGTTACCGTTTCTCCCTATTATAAAAGAAAGAGTTCTGTGAACTGATACATACATCTGAGAGGATTTGTTCATAGCACAAAATGTTTCATTCACAAAGATGCCCATGTTTCTCTTCATTATTTCCTTCTTTTTAGTGACTTTTAAATTTCAATTGTAGTGGGAGGGAAAACATCTCAGGTGCTTCCACATCTCCCATTATCACCTTGCCACATATGATGGTCCCCAAGAAAGGAAGCAGTACCCCAGCTTTAGGAGTCTGTAGGCTGTCCCTGCAGCCTCCAAGGAAAAGCAGGAACCAATGTTAACTGGTGACCACAGCAGTGGGAATGTGGACTGCAGTCCTGGGAGTCAGGCCTCGGAGCTGGTATCAAATGGATGATGGATTCTCAGGGCAAGACTTGGTAATCGAAATGATGAATCCGAAATCTGTGCTCCAGAGGTTCTTAACAAAGTTCTCTCTTGTCATTTCTACAGAGCCATGTTTGACTATGACAAGAGCAAGGACAGTGGGCTGCCAAGTCAAGGACTTAGTTTTAAGTATGGAGATATTCTCCATGTTATCAACGCCTCAGATGATGAGTGGTGGCAAGCCAGAAGAGTCACACTGGAGGGGGACAGTGAAGAGATGGGGGTCATCCCTAGCAAACGGAGGTAAGAATTGCCTTTTCTATTTCAGACTGTATGCATTTTAGCTATCCAGGGAGTGGAAATAAGGGAAGATGAAGATAAGACAAACTGTTTATAAAATAACCATTTGAGTGGGATAGTCAGTCTGCAGGGAAATTGTCAGTGGTGACAGGTGACATGAATTAAGTATTCTTGTTCTTTTCATGTTAGGGATTTACAAAAGCTGGTGACTCTGATAAGACATAAAGCAAGAAAAGGGATCTGCTTCAACCACCTCCCTAAAACATTTACCAGCATCCACATGTTCAAGATTATCTTAGCATGTATGCGGATTTAAACACTCAGAGGTGTTATTCCAGAGGTTCAGATTTACCAGATAGCTTTACAGAAAGGTCAGGTGAAAGCCACATAAAGTATGATTTACTAATAAAAGGTCCTAGCTATGTATTACCTTCAACTACTGATGGGGGAAAAATTAAAACCCTTCATGCCAAATTCAGATGCTTGGAATATGAGCTGTGGAACATCTGGGTGAGGCCTAAGACAGGGTTTATCACTTACTGTTTTCCTTACTCCTTTTCCCCACCCACCCCACAACTCCCACTTTCACTCAGATAATCAGTTCTGTATGTCAAGAGCACCATGCTCTTTCTCTTCCAAGCCTTTTTTCCACTATGCTTTTGAAAGGCAGGAATATACTTCAGAACAGCCACCTCTCCCATGTGTCCCAGTAGCTTCCAGTCATCACCACCATGGGGGAATTTCCTTCCCACCAGCATCCTTTTGGCACAGAATAGTTGCCTGACATTGCTTTGAGAGGACATTCTGAGTTTAAACTATGGCTTGTAGTGTTTTCTCAAAGGTTATATATTCAAAGCATGGACTCTCCGCACTAGTTTATATTCTGTTTCTCCATTTCCGTTTACTTAAAAAAAAAAAAAAAGTCAAGGCAACACGCATTTTGGTCTGCTTTGATTTAATCCATCAGAGCTGTCTGAGAAGCTGCTCTGTAGAAGAAAGAGCTATCTTCTTGAATATGGCCCCAAGGACGAAAGTGGGGTGTCAAGGAAGGAATAGATTTCAGCTTATTTTAAAGAAATTCTTTTACTAGTCAGCTGTGTAGCGATGGTATGGATTACCTGGGAAGATAGCAAACTAGAACAATAGTTTTCATAACAAGGGAGCTTTATAAAAACTTAGATATGGGGCACCTAGGTGGCTCAGCATGATCTCACGACTAATGAGTCTGAGCCTCGCGTCAGCCTCTGTGCTGACAGCTCAGAGCCTGGAGCCTGCTTCAGATTCTGTGTCTCCCTCTCTCTCTGCCCCTCCCCTGCTCACACTCTGTCTCTCTTTCTGTCCCTCAGAAATAAATATTTAAAAATTTTTATATTAAAAAATAGCTTAGATGTGCCTGTTCCCTCCCTCTCTGACCCTCCGCTCCATGTGTGCCTGTGGGTGCATGCACACACACATACACACACACACACACACACACACACACACACACATATTCTAACTCAGTCCATCTGGAGGGGGTCCTGGAAATCTGAATGTGTTTGTAAATCCATCCAGGTGATTCTGGTAATAGAAGATCTAGCATCGAGGATTCGAGGTTTGGATAGAGTGTTGAACTATATGATTTCTCGGGCCCTTTCCAACCCAGAGGTTCTGTGATTCTAACCAGTCTTGTCAGTAGCCCTTCATTTGTTCAATTACACATCATTTTCCCCACAAGGAACATTCCCAGTGCTATGCCTCTTGAGGTAATTTTCTACCTGCTGGTGGTCATTCTTAAGTTGGCTTTCTCCCCTAGTTTGGATAAAAACCACCTTAACAACCATACTACAGCTAGCCTGAAAAAGAAGTTTGTCTAGTGACTCTAATGTTGACATGTATTTGCATTCTATCTCATGAATGCTGCAGTAGCTTCCCCCTCCATATGTGTGTACATGTGTGTGCATGTGTGTGTACGTGTGGGTGTGCTTATGGCTATAAATGAGTTTCTGTCAACTTTCTCCTTAGGATTTTAAATCTTTTTTAAAAATGTTATCATTATTGTTTTATGTGTTTATAAAAGTAACACATTTCATTGTAGAAAAATGGGAAATTTTTGAAAAGTATAAAAAAGAAATAAAAATCACTTATAATCCTACCTCATAAAGAGTTCTTATGCATGGACTTTAAAATCTATCATGAGGGGCACCTGGGTGGTTCAGTCAGTTGAACATCAACTCTTGATTTCAGCTCAGGTCATGATCCCAGGGTCATGGGTTCGAGGCCCATGTCAGGCTCTGGAACCTGCTTGGGATTCATTCTTTCTCTCTCTCTCTCTCTCTTTCTCTCTCCTTCTCCCTTGCTTGCTCTCTCTCTCTCTCTCCCTCTAAAATAAAACACACACACACACACACACACACACACACACACACACAATCTGTCATGAGCCTGTCCTAGGCCTGTTCTTTAATATTTTACTTTTAAATGAGGCTTTCTCATTTCACACTACATTCAGCATCTTACAACAACAGCTCAGAATAAGTGGGAGCTGCTCAAATATGATTTACTATTAGATTGGGGTTAATTTTTCAATCTTTAATTCCTTTATAGTCCCTTTTCTGAGTATAATTCAACTAGTAGAGCTCATCTGGGAAAATCTCTTAATGGGTGACATCAGGGCATGACTTCACCCTTTACAAATATGTTTCTCTATTGATGATTCCATTTAATCATCCCAATTACACCAAGATGGAGAGTATGATAATTATTGCCTTCCTCCTCCTTTTTTTTGAAGATGATAAAGAAATTTTATTTAACAAAATACTCCAAGAGCATGCTAGGCACTGTTCTAAACCCTTTACAATGAACTTATTTAAACCTCATCATAACCCTATGAGAGATGTTATATTATGATTGTGCCCATTTTACAAACCAGGAGGTTGAGGCATAAAGAAGTTAATTAACTTGCCTGAAATTGTCCAACTAGTAAGTGGCAGAACCGGGATTTGAATCCAGGCTACAGAATTGATACTTTTAACTTATATGTAATCCTTCCTCCCAAAGTTACAAAAATAAAACTCGACAAAATTTAATTCAGCAAACATTGTTTGAGCAGTGTCTGTGTGCCAAGCGCTGTCATTAGGTCACTGTCTCTGGAGCCCAACATTTGTGGGACAACACAGCGTGCCTAGCTACAGTGTGATTAGGTTAATGGGGGCTATTTGTAACTAAAGGTACTTGTCCTAGTCAGCTTGGGCCGCCATAACAAAATATCATAGACTGGAAGGTTTAAACAATAGACATTTATTTCTCACAGTTCTGAAGGCTGGAGAGTCCAAATTTAAGGCACTGGCTGTTTGGGTTCCTGGTGAGGGCCCTCTTCCTTGGGTACAGATGGTCGTTTTGCTGTACCCTCACATGGCTAACAGAGAGATCATTTCTCATGTTTCTACTTATACCGGCACTAACCCCATTCATGAGGGCTCCATCTTCCCCACCTAATTATCTCCCAAAGGCCCCACCTCCAAATACCATCACACTAGGCACCAGGGCTTCAACATATGAATTTTGGGTAAACACACTCAGTCCATAGCAGGGGCAAAGGGATGTGAAAGGACACCAGACAGAGAGATGCATTCCATTGGATGATAGCACCAGCCATGTACTGTGCCAGGTGCTTTCAAATACATAATTTCATTTCATCTTCACAAAAGCCTCGTAAGGAAACCAAGGGTCCAAGAAGTCAGGTAACTTGCCCAAGGATGCACAACCAGCCACTGGCTGAACCCACGTCTCTCTGAAAACAAGACCACATGCCTTTCCACTACACCAAGGGTATATTAGAATTGTCAATTAGGAGGTCTTAATATGTATCAGACACGGTGCTAACCAATTCTCTCATATTACCTCATTTAATGTTCACCGTAATTTTCTGAAGTCTGTGTCAATATTCTAAGTTTACCAGCATGAATCCTGAGATCCTAAGAGGCTGAATGACCTGCCCAAGTCACACAGAGAGTAAGTGGCAAATGCAGTGTTCAAAACCAGGTTTGTGTGACTTTAAAACCTGGACTCTTAGCATAGAATCACTGCTTTCTGAGATTAGGTAGTTTGTGAGTCGCCAAGATAGGATGCTTTTCTACAGTCTGCTAATCCCAGTCTTTAGTCATTGCCCCTCAGTGATGACCACCGGGGTTCTCAGATAACAAGCGTGTCGCTAGCATTGCGTTAAGGTTTAGGCACCTAGCTTTCACAGTGAGCCTGTGGCCAGTAACGTGGGTGACATTTCCATCCTTGTAGAGCACAGCACAGGAACACCCAGCACCAAGTGATGTTCCCACCATCCAGGGCTCCAAGCCTGACCTCATTATGTGTTTGGCCAGAACGTGAAAATGCCAGATGGGGAATGGGTGAGAGGGCAGAGGGAGACAGTTGGGCTCATTGAAGCATGACTATTCGGAACTCCCTGGAGAAGCTAGCTGTCAGAATTGATTGTTCAGACTTTGCCATCCAGTTTATATTTTCAGGATTTTGGTCAGTGACCAGACTAGGGTGGAGAGGATTATTTCTGCTTAAACAATCTAATTAATTGCTTGCCTCTTGAGTGTGAGAAAAGTAAGGTAGTACTTCTCATTTCAATTCAGTCTTTCTCTACAAGTGGTCCACCATTTCCTTAGGTAAAGATCTGAGGACTTTAATATCATGTATATCTACCAAAGGAATCTTACTTAGTAACACAATTAAGGAAGGTAATGCTAAACTTTTATAAGGACTCTTGCCAAGTGAAAAAGTCATGCAATGGTAAATAACTTTTTATGAAAAACACCATTTGTGTGGGCAAGTCACCTGATTCTTGAGCCTTAGTTTTCACATCCAAGTCAAGAATGCTCCTTGAGGGTTTATTCATGCTTTCATTCATTCATTCATTCATTCATTCAACAAAGATTTATTAAGCACCTACTCTATGCCCAGCTCCTTCTTAGACCCTGGATCATTGTACAGTTATAGATAATATAGGCCAAGTACAACATCGAATACTTTGTGCATGCTCAAATGATAGGTGTTTTCCTTTCTTCATATTTTGAGCTTTTAGTGCCTGAAAGAACACAGCATTATACAGAACCCTATTTCCCAGCCCTACCTCTCATTTGAGCGATAAACTATCCTCTTGCATCTCAAGAAGCACTAGAAGAGAGGAAGGGCCTGTGGTAGCTAGGAGAAAACATAAGCCACAGTCACTGCTACCACTGAAAGAGGTAATCAACATGGCCCTCTGTGAAGGGAAAGTAAGACAATGATGGGCCTGCAGTGAATGCAGAAAGACTGCAAAGGAGAGAAACTAATTCAATATTTATCATATAATTCAATATTTATAATGCTGCACATAGTCATTTAGCTAACCTAAATTTCTGTGTTAAAATTTATTCTAAACTTTAAGCCCAGCCTTTTATGGTATGGTGTTAGCTCAATGATTATACACTTGCATTCAGTTATGGTTTAATTCAGGACATTTGGGATATGGGGATTCAAGGGAGGGGGGTTGGTTATCATTTGTGAAAAACTTAATGAAAACTTCCGAAGAACTGTATTGACCTTAAAACCGTGTATGACCCATCCAAAATCTCATTTGTGTTGAGAATTCCCATTGTGGAGAAAGCCGTGGAAGATCCTTGAATGCTGTTTCTCAAACTAAGTAGATGTGGAGAGGCAGTCAAGTTAGCTTTTAGCAGCTGTGTGCTCAGGCCCTTATTCCTACCACTTCCTAAACTTGGCAAGCTTCAAGTGTCAGCTTTCCCAGCCATAAAATGGGGTCAGTAATACCTACATCACTTGATTATCATGGGAACCAAATGAGAGGATATAAATGTAAAGGAATCTTTTTGCTAATAATTATGTGTTAAAGCTTCAGCCACCACTTATATTATTCTCATTATCATGACTAATGAAATTTTCAATCCCAAGAGAAAGCAAAACTTTCCGACTTCCTCACTTCCATGAGTGAGCCAAAACCCTGCCACCTTTAAAAATTGTTTTTTACTTTTTTCTATGGCCTCTTTGAAGATTAATCATAAACCATAGCAAATAACAGGTGTGTGTGTGTGTGTGTGTGTGTGTGTGTGTCCATCTGACATAACATTCTTTGCAACCCATTTAAGGGATGAACCACTAAAGATGGCCTAATGGAGACATTTCTTAAGAAATCTAAAAAAAAAGGTTGAGCTTGGAATCCAGGGGGTAAAAATTAGAATAGTCTATCCAAATAGTTAGTAGAATCCCAAATTCAGCCTAATATATGTTTGGAGCCCTGTGAGTTCTGTCGGTCTGGACAGAATTTTTTGCATAGCCTGATCAAAACCATGTATCCTCTGTGTGTCATTTTGGCATCATCTAATGTACTAGTGTTTTCCATAATCAGCCTGGTTAATGCAAAGAAGCCAGGATAAAGTCAGGGCTGTAACAACAGTTTTAGAAGGATTCGAAGAGATGAATATGAATTAACATTTGCTCTTGGATTAAAACTGAGAAAAGCTGAAGTAGCTCAGAACAGGCATTTTCTCAGTGAACATCTTTCCACTTGGCAGCTTACCTTATCCAAAGTCTTCCTTGTACTGTTCCCAACTGTTGTCTGTTGGGTGCAAATAGAAACTCTCAGTGAAACATATTGCTTTAATATCTGAGGTTAGATATGAAATTTTTTGTTCAGCTGTTTCCACTCAAATATTCTCCTCTCACACTGAAATATATCCTGAAACTCTGCCCTGTAACTATAGAAACCCTGATCTGCACTGTGTTTCATCTGGAAACACAAAAGAGCTCTCAGTTAAAAAGCAATATGTTGTTAATTATTGATCTACGAATAATTTAGATTTCATAAACCATTCATTTCTGTAGATTCAGGGTTTTTCTTCTCTCTCTCTTTTCTTTCCCCATTTTTGAAATTAGAGCCAGCCATATTTAAATAAAAAATCCAGTTAAAACAATGCACCGCGGGGCGCCTGGGTGGCGCAGTCGGTTAAGCGTCCGACTTCAGCCAGGTCACGATCTCGCGGTCCGTGAGTTCGAGCCCCGCGTCAGGCTCTGGGCTGATGGCTCAGAGCCTGGAGCCTGTTTCCGATTCTGTGTCTCCCTCTTTCTCTGCCCCTCCCCCGTTCATGCTCTGTCTCTCTCTGTCCCAAAAATAAATAAACGTTGAAAAATAAAATAAAATAAAATAAAAATAAAAATAAAAAAAAACAATGCACCGCATATTATTTTAGTTAACAGCTGTTTACTGAGGTCTTACTACAATATGCTGTAGAGTGAGAATGTGGACTTGCCCTCAAGGAGCATGCAGCTTTGTATGTACACTGTGAAAATAAACACAAGGGAACAAGAGATAATACCAACATGAAGATACAAATAAGTACTGTTGTATCTTTTTTTTTTTTTTTTTTTTTTTTTTTTTTTTTTTTTTTTTTTTTAAATTTTTTTAACGTTTATTTATTTTTGGGACAGAGAGAGACAGAGCATGAACGGGGGAGGGGCAGAGAGAGAGGGAGACACAGAATCAGAAACAGGCTCCAGGCTCTGAGCCATCAGCCCAGAGCCTGACGCGGGGCTCGAACTCACGGTCCGCGAGATCGTGACCTGGCTGAAGTCGGACGCTTAACCGACTGCGCCACCCAGGCGCCCCAGTACTGTTGTATCTTAAAGGAAGGAGTACTCGTGTCTGACTGGAGAGGCTCAAAAAAACAAAAAATCAAGGAAGTACTTAGCTTCTCTTTTCCTCTTTTTTCCACCCCATCCTTCAAATAGGCACAAGTCTTACCAATTTTACTTTACTACTCTTTCTCAAACCCTTCCCTCTCCTCCACTTCATTGTTTCTTGCCTGGATAATGCCAAAAGCTTCTAAATGGACTTCCTGCTTCCCACAGTCCCTTCCCTCTTCCAGTCTATCTTCCTCCACCACCTGGGTTATTTATTTAAAATGTTAATCTGTTCTATCACTTCTTCACATTATATCTTCTAATAACTCCTGAGGATTCCCCAAGGAAAAAGCCCAAGTCGGGTCGCCCGGGTGGCTCAGACAGTTAAGCTGCCAACTCCTGGTTTTGGCCCAGATCATGATCTCATGATTTGTGAGTTAGAGCCTCTCATCAGGCTCTGTGCTGACAACTCAGAGACTGCTTGGGATTCTCTCTCTCCCCCTCTCTGTGTCCTTCACCCACTCATGCTTTCTCTCTCAAAATAAATAAATAAACTTGAAAAAATGTTAAAGCCCCAGTCCTTAGTGTAGATGGTTATCTTGTATAAGGAGGCTTCACTGTCTTACTGTCTCATATCCCATCCTGTATATAGCCTGTATCAGAACCTTCCCCAAAGTCTTTAGCTTTTTTAGACCCTCAGGTCATGCTATGTGTTGTTCCTCCTGTCTGGGAAATTCTCCCCAAACTTTTCCTACTGACAAGCTCTTTCTCATCCTTCAAGTTTGACATCCCTCAAATTGACACCTCCTCCAAGAAGCCCACCTCAATGCTTTCTACCCCACCTTCTCACCCTCCAATGAGATAGATGCTCCCCCAAGCCCCACTGCTGTCAACAGTCTTACAGTGCAGCATTATCAGTCTGTCTTTATGTCTCTGTGCCTACCAGAAGCACAGTCCTGTGTGTTTATTACAGCCATGCTTTTTGATGTTTTTTTTTTTTTTCCTTTGTTCCCCTGCTCCTTGCTTGATGCATGGATAGGCACTCAATGAGTATTTGATGAATGAATGAAGTGGCAGGTACAATGATGAAATGTGCAGAGATGACAGGAAAATGGCACTGGGGAAAAGGAAAAATTCAAGATTATCTATAACATGTTTGGTTTTAAGGTGAAGGTAAATCCCCTAGTGTTCATTCCTAAAGGGAAGGGAAGAAAAAGGAAATGAGAAGAAAAGGGTAGGAGAGACAAGGCCTGCAGAGGGGAACAGAGAAGAGAAAAGTTTACTTGGGCTCCACTTTACATGTCCATCTCTATGGATTGTGATTTATTATAATAGATATTTGGTTGATTTATTCAGCCATTTAAGTAACAAATATTAGTTTTTCTCCCTTTGTCCCCCCTCCCCAATCACTATGACTCTCAGTACATGTAACACAAAAGTTTCAAGAGATGTGTTAGCTGCTTAGAGACATTATACCAAGACTTTTTATACCAAACAAAGGAACAGAAATATTTTAGAATACATTTTATTTGAGCTTTAGGATAAGAGGAGATATTCTTCATTTAATAAGGAACTTAATCATAAATGCCTTGCCACGTGACTCTTTATTTTCAATTTTCTTTAGGGTGGAAAGAAAGGAGCGTGCCCGGTTGAAGACAGTGAAGTTTAATGCGAAACCCGGAGTGATTGATTCAAAAGGGGTAAGTACAAAATAATTGAAACATTAAGTTCTCTCCGTTGCCATGGGTTTAATTATAATTAACATTTAGACTTTCAGTAGCAAAGAAATTATGGAGCTACCAGAGTACTGTAGTAGCGTACTGTTATAAATGTACTACTGAAAGCAATAGTGTATTCCCTCAGGAAGTAGATTTATGGTAAATATATTCAATACTAGGGATAAAGCTGCTAGTGGTCCACAGAAATGATGTGTTCATGAAGGTGATGTAATGATTACAATGAAGGAGAAAAAGGGTAGTTTAGTGTTATCATTTCTCTATTTTTTTTCATTTAAATTAAATGTTCTAAAAGGATGGGTTTCATAAAAAAAACCTACCTGCTCATCACCAGTATGTCTAGTCTGTTACATACGACAAAGCTAAGACAGTGGTCATGGAAATATGTGGATAGATCATCTAAGTGAATACGTGGATTGTTGTGACAGACATAGAAGAGAATTAACAGGGCAAATTTAATCTTCAAAATTAAAGTATTATACACACATGTATCTTTTTTAATAACAGTTTTGATGATAAAATTCACCTACCATACAATTCACTAATTTAAGGTATACCATCCAAAGTTTTTTTTTTTTCGTATATTTAGTTATGAAATCATCACTACAGTCACTTTGAGAACATTTGATCACCCCATACAGGTATCCTGTAGCAGTCACTTCCCATTGCCCCCAGCATCACCCCACCTCCACCCTACCCAGCCCAAGGCAACTACCAAACTATTTTGTCTATAGTTTGCCTATTCTGGATATTTTACATAAATGGAATTATACACCACGTAGTCTTTTGTGACTGCTTCTTTCACTTCACATTATGTTCTCGTGCATCTATATTGTAGCATGTATAAGTACTTTATTTCTTTTCATTGCCAAACAATATCCCATTGTAATGATATATCTCATTTAATTTATCCGTTCATTAGTTGATGGATATCTGGGTTCTTTCCACTTTCCGCTATTATGGATAATGCTGCAATGAACATTTGTGTATAAATTTTTGTGTGGACATGTATTCTTATTTCCATTGTGTGTATACCTAAGAGGAGAATTTCTGGGTCATGTGATAACTCTATGTTTAACATTTTGAGGAACTTCCAGACTGTTTTCCAAGGTGGTTGTACCTGTTTGCATTCCCATCATCATTGTAAGAGGGTTCTAATGTCTCCACATTCTCACCAACACTTGTTATTATATGTCTTTCTGCTTATTCTGTCTGAAGTCATATCTCATTGTGGTTGCAATTTGCATTTCCCTAATTACTATTGGTGTTGAGCATCTTCTCATGAGTCGGCCATTTCTGTATCTTCTTTGTAGAAATGTCTTTTCAGATCCTTTCCCATTTTTAAATTGGATTTTGTTGTTGTTGAGTTGTACAAAAGTTTTTTATATATTCTGGATATCAATCTCTTATCAACTGTATGCTTTCCACTTATTTTCTCCCAGTCTGTAGGTTGTCCTTTCATGCTCTTGCTAGTGTCCTTTGATGCACAAAACTTCTTAATTTTGATGAAGTCCAATTTATCGATGTTTTCTTTTGTTACTTGTGGGTTTTTTTAATGCTTTTATTTTTGAGAGATAGTGCACACATGAGCAGAGAAGGGTCGGAGAGAGAAGAGGAGAGAGGGTTCAAAGCAGGCTCTGCACTGACAGCACAGAGCCTGATTCAGGGCTCAAACCCAGACACTCAACTTACTAAGCCACCCAGGAGCCCCTGTTACTTATGTTTTTGATGTCATATTTAAGAAATCATTACTTAATCCAAGGTCATGAAGATTTACATCCATATATTCTTCTAAGAATTTCATAGTTTTAGCTCTTATATTTAGGTGTTTGATCCATTTTGAGTTAGCTTTTGTATATGATATGAGGTAGGGTTCCAATTTCTTTTTAACATGTGAATTATCTTCTCATTTTCATTGTTTGTTTTGTTCATTTCAAGTATATAGAAATATAATTATTTTATATATCAATGTTATATCCTCCTACCTTGCTGAACCCATTTATTAGTTCTAACAGTTTTTCTGGTGGGTTCCTTAGCATTTTCTATGTATAAGATCATGTCATGTGTAAAAATAGAATTTTACTTCTTTCTTTTCACCCTGGATGACTTTTATTTCTTTGTCATGCCTGATTGCCCTGGTAGAACCTCCAGATCAATGTTGGATAGAAGTGGCAAGGGCAGTCATCCTTGCCCTGTTCCTGACCTTAAGGGAAAGGCATTCAACCTTTCACCATTAAGTATGATGTCAGCTGTGGCTTGTACAGCTTTTAAAATCTATTTTTAAGTGCTAAAACCAGTATCACGTTGCTGTATTATAAAATACTGCCCCCTACCTGTCCTTTTTTTCTTCCTGTGCTCTTTTTCTTCATCTCCTTTCCTTTACCTTTCTGTCCTAATAATTCTGGCTTGTCGGCATCACACAGAACCACAAATTATGGCCAATAGATGTCACCATGAAAAACAAAAAGAAGAAAAGCTATCATTTCTTAGGACTTTTGAGCACCAAACCACAACACTGTCCCTTGAATTTTTAAGTAGAAGATCACAGATTCTTGACATAACAATTTACTTTCCCCTAAAACATTTGGGTGAAATGGGAATTTATTTAAACATAAGATGTACCTCTTTTTAAAAAGGTATGTGTCATCATACATGGAATCCTTTCAAATAACTACTGTTTATAAAGAAGGGAGTAGGATTTTTCATTGATTCTTAGGGAGAATTTAAGGATAGAGCTCCTGTTTGTTTCATTTATGTAGTTGAATGTGTGAAAGACACAAGCCTATCAAAGTTCCTTCTCCTCAAGAGTTTATAACCTCTATGAGAGCCCAGCTGTCTTTTTGATAAGACATAGACATGAGTATTGAGCTTTTTAATCATACTGTTAAAATATTATTAGGTACGTGCCAAAAAATAGAAAACAAATTCTCAGACTTGAATGACTATTGAATGAGGACCAGTTATGTGGAAAGGGAAACCCTGGATGGGCAATCATGAGGGCCAGGTAACTTGGGTTCTGGTTTTAGTTCATGACTAAGTCACCACTGCTCTTTGGGCCTCACTAGCAAAATAACAGCTTTGAACAACATCAAGTATGTCAGGCAAGTTTCACTTCCAATGGATGGATCATGATGATGGATTGATAGTTTCTGGTAAACTGATAGTCTTTACCGGGAATATTATTAAAAATGACTCTGAGACCATGTATGACCTCAGCAGAAAAAAAAAGGGGGGGGGGGCATTAATTGACTATGGATGCCTCACACAATGTTGAGAATTATTCTTTATTTGAGGTCCCTGGGTTCAATTATTTTTAAGGAGCCTTCCAGTAGTAATTCTCCATGAGCCTATGAAATAAGAAACAAAAAATCAAAGTTTTCCAAATCCCCATGAGAACAATACATCAATGAGAAGATTCTTGCTCACAAGTAGAAAGTAAAGGATGATTAAGAGAAAGTGTGCTTAAGAAAGGAAAGACCAACTGTGGGGAGAGCTGAGAAGCTAGGTCAGGAGAAGTCACGCACCTTGAGCCAAGGGCGCGGACTACAGAAAGTAGTTACTGTTACCAAGGCCCCAGTCTGGGATCTAGGGGTAAATTCAACACAAATTGAGGAAGAAAACTACTTGGAATGAGAAAGACAATGGGATATTTTAAATAATCTTTGCATTAGCTGGCATTTACACAGCATTGTGAAATAGGAGTTGAAAGTGAAAGCCATGCTTACTGCCCTGCGGTGGCTTAAAATCCATTAGTATGTATAAAGCAGGTTGTAACAAGAGCCGTATTTAGTAGTATGTTCAAGAGCTTTGAGAATTCAAATTAATGAGTGTGGGAATGGCCAGAGAGCACTTCATAGAAGAACTTAGGCTTTAATTGACATATCAGCACTTGAGCTATTTTTCCAGAACTATCCATTGATTAATAAATATTGAGTGCTGCAAAACACCAGGCATTGTGCTAGGTGCCTTATAGGAAAGCAAAATAACATAAAAAGGCAAGGTCTCTCATCTCAAGGAGCTCTCAAAGAGAAATCTAAGCAGGTCTGCCAACACAGTATCACCGATGATACTCATAAATGTGGAGAAGTAAGTCGTTTTTTAATGTTTTTATTTATTTTTGAGAGAGAGAGAGCAAGTAGGGGAGGGGCAGAGAGAGAGGGAGACACAGAATCTGAAGCAGGCTCCAGGTTCTGAGCTGTCAGCACAGAGCCTGATGTGAGACTCGAACCCATGAGCTGTGAGACCACGACCTGAGCCGAAGTCGGATGCCCAACAGACTGAGTCACCCAGGCACCCCAAGAATTAACCGTCTTTATTTTAAATATCAGGAGACTGAGCTTCAAGAAGGTTAACTGATTAAGCTATGATCACACAGCTAGTAGGTGCAAGTGTCGGATCATTTGGACAGAAGAATGCACATTTCTTCACACTATACTTTGTTCTGGTAGAAGTCAGAAGAAGGAAAGTTAGTAATCATGCCTTGGGTAAGAGAGAAGTCTTTCAAGAGAATGTGATACTCGAACAAGATCTTGAAGTTCAAATAAGAGTGTGCCACATATAGGATCCAGCATGAACTTAAAAGGGGAAACTGTAGGCATGCTGGAGTCAGGCCAATCAGATTGGGGACACCAGATGAATGGTGTGGATAGTGTAGTGGTAGTTGCAGCAAATGGGGCTGACAATGAGGATCTGGAAGGTCAAGCAGTGTATGTGGAAAGCCTGGTTTGAGCTTTGAAGCTCATTAAATTTTGAGAGTATCCATGAGGAAATCCAAGGCTCTCCATTTGAAAGTGTTCCATTTGAAAGTGCCCAGGCTTTCTGTATACTCCATGTGGCTCCACAAAGTCTGTGTCTACATATGCAAAGACAAGTGGACAACTGTGTCAGTAACCCACATAATTCCAGCCTACCCAGACCCCTAAGCTCACAGTGGCCATCTGTTAGGATGGGTCTTCCTGAGAACC